GATCATTCATTTCGATGACAAATTGCTACTGGCATATGTCAAGGAGTCACCTTGCTTCTAAGCAACTCTCAAAAGACGAAGTCACTAGCAGCCTTGCCAGAGGCTGGGTACGTGCTGTTACTCGTCTCTCTTGATTGATGTTTTTTGATAATTGTTTACGACGTGTTTTGATAATTGTTTACGATCGTCTAGTGATTTTGGGGTAATAGATACGCTAAGGGAGTTTATGCTTCAGACAATGGTCGTCTTAATTCGGGTAACTGATCCATTTTACTAAAATTATTAACAGTAAAATTATCACCGCGATAGCTCGGGCCACATCAATGAGTGCTTTCGATTCCCATTTAGAGTTGATGCAACAGGAGTTTTCACTTTGGGTGTACTGCAGTTATAGGTATGTATTTGTTATGTACTAGCTATGATAATGGAAAAATTCTGATATAGATAACATTAGTTCAGCAATTCTAATTTAAGTTCAGAAATGCGCATACTGGGGTTTTGTAATGAAAACTTTTTCGTCTTTACCACTTTTTTTTCTTTTTACGAATGATTTATTGTTCGAATTTGGTTTAATGGTATCATTAACTGTTTTATATTTCTAATTATCCTGACAATTTTATTCAATTTTTGCCAGTTTTTCGACATTAATTACTCCTTTGTAATCCAATTTTAGCAAAATTTCAATCCATAAAAGATTTATATCGTTTCGCAAAGAAAATTGAATTTTTCCATTAATGCATCATTTTTGCATAGAAATTACGGCTTTCAAAAGAGATTTGCTTGGATGCAAATTAATAGCCATAAATTAATGATACCTGGAAAACTTTTTCCGTTGTGAGCAGAAAACTCACCAAAATTGGTTTGATTTCGGAAAAAAAAACTGCCGTTTACATCCCATCTATTTCCTTTCGTAATAGTACTTTCCAAACACATTAATTGTTCTTTTAAGACTGAAATACTTACTTACAACTTTTTGATCGTCGAAATCCAGTTCATTTCCAGCGCTGCTGCAATTTCAGCAATTTTTAGATAAAAATTTTGACAAAAAGACGGCATGGCTATTGGCTGCACCGCTAATGAATCACTGGTGAACCATTAGCCAGTTTAAGCTTCCAGTAAGTATTCAGGATAGCTGCTTCTGCATATATGTTCTATCGCGCAACAACGAGTGCATGACATTAAGTAAACCATCGTTCAGTTATTTCCACTTAATTTGATTAAGTTTTTGAGTAATTTGTGGAGAAAATTTTTTATCTCGCTAATTTCTCAATTTTTCTGAATTTTAAAATTTTGATGCAACTGAAATTTTTGTAAACTTTTTCCACCCCATGGAATTTTTTCTTTTTTTACACTATCATTCTCTCAATTTCAATTACACAACTTCCCTCTAATCAGTAAGGTGCCTCGTCTTGGACTATGAGTCGCAGTGTTCGAGTCGAAATGCTGCTGATTTCCAACAGGCACTGATGACATCTTAAAACGGCTAAAGCCATGCCAAAGTGCTTCTGATAGGAGAATCGTTTAGTTATCAATCCTTCTCGAAGATGACACGAACGTCAAGATCTCCATTAGACACTTATCAGGGTGCAAGATTGGTCGAAGCCACTGGAGTGCTTGTTACCTAAATAGTTGGAAAACCGAACTAAGAGCATTCGGAGCCGAATCTGCATCCATGTACTGCTGCAGAAACCTTGGACTATATTCAAAGATTATTTCACTACAGTGGTGCGAAAAATTTTGACCTTGTTTCCCATGAGCCTCTGCATAACCTTAAAATTACACCTAAAGCCCACCGATCAAAGTTATACAAAAACTGTTGCTGAGTAAAATGCCAACTTACGGATTTTGTGAAATAACATAATCGAAGAAGATGAGAAATAATGTACAGTAGTAATCGCATTTTTTCATCCTGAAAATTCACTACCAAAAAAGCTGAGAAGGATGAATGCGGCGTATTTGTAGCGTCAAAAATGAATGCATAGATCATTGATGCGCATCAATTTACCGCATAATTAAGCTGCAAATCGGGTTTTCTAGCAAGTGCTATAAGTCGGATTAACGCATCTGCAGACCATCATCATTCATTCGCTTAGCTCCTCTTCATTCCACGTGATCATTATGAGCTGCGCATGAAACTAGTTTTCAAATGTTTTGGTATGAAACGATGAAACACATTCAAATGAATGGCATTTTTCAAGTGTCGCTAGGCTTTTGAAATAATTTTTTGTCTTATCGAACTCATAATGATTACGCAGACTAGGTTCACTAGTGCTTTTCGAACCAAGTGACTATCCCACAACTAGACTGAGCGAACAACCCAGTTGCATCACCAGTACAGGATACCATACCAATTATCCGACCGGTTTTGAGCTAAATTTTTGACATTATTGAGCTATAACTATGTCAGGGCAATTCTGTTTCAAATGAACTCTTCCTTGTTAAATTTTTCATTTCAGTTCCTTCCCTCTATCCTTACTGCGTAAATGCACCATGTCTTTGGGAGCAACAAAAAATCACCTAAAGAAAGAGGAAAATTTTCATAGCTTTTAAAAAAAGGTTAAGATATCTGCAACATTATGCAAAACTACAAAATTCCAGGAGAATTATGCGGTTGACGAAAGGAAAAAGCTAGTACGCAAGGTCACCAAATTCGATTCTATATCCGTAGAAAATCATGATCAAATCATTGCGCGCCCGTTCATAACGAATTTTTCATATTTATAAAAATATCCACTCTAAACATCTATCATTTTCCTAAGATAACTGTTGGGCTTAGCCAATTCGAGAAAGTGTGAGAATGCAATAAAAAAAATGGCTTTACAAAAACAAGCAACAAAAATTGACCGTGAAACAGTGTTGCAAGATGCAATGGTCTTGCTTCTGAAAAAAAAGTTCATCTGAGTTCTAACTCTGTTCCTAAATTTTAGCTTAGTTTCTTAGATAAAACGAGAATGCTGCCGTGGAGAAGCCTGCTTTTACAAATTCGAGTAAGAAGAAATAAAATTCGCAGTCAGCAGATTCGAACGCAACGTGCTGACCACTGCTCCGTGCCGTCTTCTGCTCTTTTGCAAAACTGAGCTCTGTTTGCGACAAACACGTGGTTTAATTAATGAAGCGGTGTGACGCTGCGCCAAAAAATAAACACAGATTTTGGCAAAGCACACGTTACAAAGTGCAATTTGAAAACATCAGAAGCACTAAGAGTTTTATCAAAGAGCATGAAAGGGCTCTCTTTTTTGTTAAGCTTTGCAGTGCTGAATCTCAGAGGTCGTTGAAAACAGACGTGGGAAGAAATGCGGAACTGCCAGACCAGCGCACTGGATCTGTGCTGTATGTACAGAGACGCGACAGGCTCGATTAATTTGAAAAAAAAACTCTTGCTCCGCTAGATGAAAAATGTAGAAAGTATTTTGTCACTTTGCTATTGGAATAAAACAAGTTTTCAATCCTGCTTTTGGTGCTGCTTTACGCATCTGCAATGCTCTTACAGCAATGAAGAAGGACACTACGAGGTGAGGACTGTTTTGGACAACTTTTTGTACTCTGGACTTTTGCTGATCCTATGCTTGGAAGAAGTTTTTCCAGCCAGCTTTTCCCAAGAGGATGAATATCAAAATGGTAAAGTGGCATCGCTGCTCGCATAAAAATATCAAAACACAAAAGCGATACCCCTCCCTCCATCGCTCCATTCCACACCTTTTTTCTTTTCTTCTCTCCCCTTTTTTTCTGTTGTCTAATTTTATGCAGTTTGACAAATGCTCATCACCCGCGCGGTGGGTAGAAGGCTGTACTGACGATTCCCATTTCTACTCGCCTGCTTCGTTTAGTCTGCTTTTGTACAGCTAAGGGATGAAACACAGACTGCATCCAGGAAATTCTGCGTGCGTATGGCATTTAAACTGATCCCCTATCTCCTGTTTTATTACTTGAGTCTCCGGAAAGCCGGAAGTATGCAGAAGCTATTTTTTGATAGAACGCGCCTGTGAAACTAATACATCGTCGGTAAGTGCGCCTAAGGCTTTTTCTTTCTAGGCACAAGATGAAGCGGATCGCTGCAGGTCTGGATTGCGAAGTTTCTGTAGCGTAGAGCCTCGTAACTCAAACGATTATTGAGTTTCCAATAAGCAAAGAAGCAATACTGGCGTCTCCCGAGCAAATTGATACTGGTGATTCAGTAAGCACAGACAACGATTAGCCTTTAAAAAAACCCAAAAAATGGAAAATTCTTTTCAATTTTGGAGAATGTGAAAATCAAACATTCTGAGCATCATTCGCGAGACATACCTATGAACCAATGTCGCGTGAATAGGAAACCTTCAGGCAAACTGGTCAATCAGCCACTACTACTGACGCCTCAATAAAATGCTGTTAATTTGCATAATTTTGCCTAATCAGTGTGACAACTTTCTAGCAAAACATGCATCATCTACACGCAATTTCGTGCATTTTCACTGATTACTTGAAAATTTTGCAGCTCTGAGAGGGGATTAAAAAAGAAAGTCGTCTTCTCATCTTAACAAGTAGAACCGTATATTCGCGTGCGTTTTTGCAGATTTTTATAGTCGAAGAATGGAATGCGCCAAAGTTCAACTACAGGCCATATTTTTACACCGGGTACTGGTGAGCAGGATTCCTGTCTTGATACGTTTTGGAAGTATTTCATCATGGTAATAACAGCAGTAACGATAATAATCATAAAAATAATAACAATAGTAACGGCATAAATAACAAGAATGACACACAACGTATGGACAAAGCAGGTTACTGAACGGCACTCAAATAACTTTGAAAAACACTGGGAAAGCTATTCAGACGAAAATCCTGCTTGAGCCTAAAAAGAATGCCATTTGAGAATTTTCAGCGGCCTGTTTTTTGGAGAATTTTTTTCAGTTTAATTTCAGTGAAAGCAGATTGCCATTATTAGGCAAGTGAGCAAATGAAACTGACCGGAAAATTAACAGAACCGGCAAAAAAGCCGGACGGGCAAATGGCGAATCAACCTGACATTTACATTGACCACAAAATGATCCATAAATGAACCATGCAGGCAAATGAACCAAAAATGAATGAAGGGGAAATAACCACGGAAAAAACAGACAACCAGACTGAGAAACCTTATGAGCTGGTAGCTTCAACAGGTGTTTCTTTGGAAATTCCTTGAATTTTATTAGAAATAACAGATTTTGGCAACTCTTTTATCATAAAAAAGTAAACAACCATTCGGGTGGGCTAATGG